GCATCAATTCGTGCGGGTCCTTGGCGACCACAGTGTGCTCGGTAGTATAAGGTTCTACGACAGGTCCGAAGGCGAAAAGAACCCGATGATGCTTCTCATCGTTGCTGAGAACTGTTGCGGTGGCCTTTACGATCTCCCCGCCACTCACTGATCGCAGAAACTCAAAGATGGGCTTGTCCTTGTTGTCACCAGTGTACCCCAATTTCTGGGCCAGCCTATAAGCCCAATTATTTCGCGGAGGCTGCGTCCAGGGGCACAAAACACTGCCCGACATTACGATAGCTTTGTGAATAAGCCCTTCGGTTTGGGGACTTAGTGTAAGGAAGTGGGTCGAGGCACCTCCTGCACTTTCGCCAAAGAGTGTGATATTGCTGGGATCACCGCCGAAGGCCTCGATGTTTTGCTGTACCCATCGGAGGGCCATGATTTGGTCCTTGAGGCCGGCGTTTCCGGGCACGTTCAGCTGCGGATCGTCCAGGCTGAGGAAGCCCAAGGCTCCTAGTCGATAGGCAACGGTGACTATGACCACATCCTTCGACATGAAAAAGTCAGGACTATACATATCCCGAGAAGCTTCTCCGACTTGAAAGCCTCCTCCGTAGATCCAAACCATCACGGGACGCAGTTTATCCGGCTGCAACTGCAATGGAAATCATAAACTGGGATTAGATCTGTAGGGCACATGCAATACCCAAAACTTACATCCTTGGCATACACATTCAAGTAGAGGCAGTCCTCTGAGCCCGCGAACTTTCGGAAAAACATGTGTGTCTGAAGGGGCTTGTCTGCCGGCGAAGTGCAGTCCAATTCCAGGTCCCATGGTTCCACTGCTTCGGGGGCCTTGAAGCGCAGATCCCCCACTGGCGGCTTTGCGAAGGGAATCTTCTCGAAACTGAAGTAGCTCCCTCCCCAGATCGTGTTTCTCTTCACTCCCCGCACAAGACCTGATTTCGTCTTTATTACGGAATATATTGCTGTCGCCAACTTGCGCTGCTCGTACTTAAAACTCAGCACCCTGTAATAAAAATTGTTTATCAAAAGATTAGATTGAATAGAACAGTTTTTGGTTTACCTAGTAAAAATAATTATTAAATTAACAATAGTATTTCTCCGCGATTATTTGTTAACCGCGAATTTCTAGAAGCTAGGAATAATTTTATTACGAGCATAGGATCGTGAATTGGGGCACAGGTGGCTTGGAAACTTCTTGGAAATGTCATAACACACTACCTTATTAAAAGGCAACTCCTCATCAAAATATTTATATACAATAATCCTACTCATCCACCACAGTCACGCACTAGGAACATGACCACAGTGAACACTAAGCAGTGAGCTCCAGTCGCACAGCAAATTGCCGGGGAAGCACTTTCAATGTCGTTGGAGGTCTTTGTTGGCTTGAAAGTCTTGCGAATGGCGAATTGTCAACGGCTTTTGACCAACCTCAACTCAACGCCTCACGTTTTTTATGCACGACCAGTTCTCTATTTTGATGCCTAAGATTTTTGTTTCTGATTTTATAGCTAATTTGTGGGTGGGCGTGAACGGTTTAATGCATTAAATGGCCTATTTTTATTTGCTCGCACTGCGCACCGTCGATGGAGGCACAAATCGTATATTTAACTGGCGTTCTTCAAATGCACTGACATAGTTTGATTCAACATCATTGCACACGAATGCATACAAATCGGTAATTACGTTTGGAATTGAGAGAAAGGCGAGATCAGATTGGATGCCGGATTGGATGGTACGTGACTGCTGTGGGTCCGTGAAAGCCAACTTCCAAGACGTAGCGCCTTTAAATATTTCTGGGCGATCTGAGCTTGTCATTGAAATATTTTTCGCCAGTGTAGTTTGTTTTAAATGGCCTAATAAGCAGTAGACAAGCAGTTGAGCGAAACAAATGAAGGTAATAAATTAGAGTAATTCACTCAGTTAGCCTAGGGTTTCACACATTATTAGGTTGGAAAACCATTCAAATTGCACTTCGATCACCTGGCAGGTGCGCAATGTAATCAAAATTAAGTTTAGTCGTATAAGAATTAATTAAAGCATTCGACAACCAATCAGTTCAGTGCGATACGGTGTGTTCAACGGTTGATTTGAAAAGTCAATGCCTTGGCAACAAAGTGAATAGGATGACTAACAATATAAGCGACTGTATCTCAGGTCAGTCGTTGAAAACAAACTAGAAATGAGCTTGTATTATATCAGAGTTGTATCTATCGCGAAAAGAAATGTATAATTAAGAGCATTTGATGTAAAATCCGCCTTGTCATGCCCGTAGTCAAAAATATAAGGGAAACCTGAAATGAACCCTGTACCCGGGCAACTTATCAGTATAATTCCGCGTGTTTATACATACTTGAACATGCAATTTTGCGATTTGACAAAGCGATTTGAGCAGTGGTATAATGTAGACAACGATTATCCATTCTTTATGACTGTAACTAGCAGCGAAATTAAATAAATGTTAAATCAGCTGAAATCATAATAATAAGCGGCAAAAACTTCAAAGAAAAGGTACAGTTGTCACGCTTTTTTCATGGTAATTTAATTTTATTTGTGTCTAAATATAGAGGAATAGAAAACTCTATATATTTTTGTCTGATTCACTGCTAACTGACCTAACCTACTTCCCCGACTTCCTCAATTGAAAGCCCGCACAAACAAACAGTGATAAATAAATATAGATACACGCAATTAACACAATTTTGTGTGTGGCTATGCAATAATTTATGTTAAAAATACTAACTACCCGCAAAACTGGTAATAAACCTGCGAAAACGTGCAAAAAATAGCAAACACAAATCAAAAAACAATAAAAACCAACGAATGCCGCAACAATGGTAACATCGCTGAATCATGGGTGAAAAACAAAACAAGATAAAAAAGCCGAGGAAACAGACGGACGGAAATGAGGCAGGGAAAAAGCAGCATTATTAGGTTTATGCAAAACAACTGAAAACAAGCAACATATATACATAAAACTACAAGAGACGACGATATAGTCGACTTCCTCGACTACCAAATACCTGTTACTCAGCTACTAAGAGTACGAACCGCAAAGGTAAACATTCTTTATGACGTATCGATAGAAATTGGAAAAAAGAAAACAAATCTCGACTCGGCTATTGATCCTGATCAAGAATATATATACTTTATATGGTCAGAAACTCTTTCTTACACCTGTTACATACTTTTCAACGAATATAGTATACCCTGTTTCTCTACTAGTAACGGGTATAATAACCAATACGCAGCAAAGTCTGCGCAACAATTTCACCAACGCAAGACATAAATTGATGTGTGCACAGATTACACTGGGAAAAATTTACAAAATGCCAACATTTATTTGCCCAATAAAAAGCATTCCATTTAATATTTCTTGCTCAAAAATATTTTCCCAGTGCACACGTATGCATTTGTATGCATGCTGGGCAGAAGCTATTGCAAAACCAAGACGCGAGACCTCAAAACAGAGAAATCCGTTTAACGGACACTGTGAAGACTCACTTAAAGGTCAGCTTCAGTATATCCATAAAGCGGGTTGCCATATCGAATGCCTTATCGCGCACTATTCTTCATGAACACCCAGACACGCTGGTTATCTATGTGCAGCTATACACGCTTCGAAAACGGGCGATTTGGGGAAAGTGTCACAATAAACCCGAAGCTAGCCAAGTTAGCACAACCGGCTGGAACAAAACGATCGCTAATCGCTGAACGGAACAACCAGAGCGCTCTTCAAGAGCGTGCGGCACCAACTGACCGGTGGGATCGGATTGCACGGCGAAAGCGCCTCTCACTTGAATCAGCTGTTCGGTTACTAACTCTCCGCTCTGTAAAATACCGGTTTTACTCTTCACTTTCCGAGTTTTCTTACTGTTATGATATGTAAGTGTTTGTGGGTATGTAAGTACAAGTGGGTCGTATCGTAACACAGTCATCTTAATTCATAAAGGCCAAGGAATTAGATGGCGTTTTCTGCTATAGACAAGAATAATAATATCCATCCTATCCACTCTTTTATCTTAAACGCCGGGAATGTTAGATCGCATTATTGTAGAATTTTCTTATAAATTAAGATAATATCTGTATATATAATATTAATAATAATATATAATTATAATATTAAAACAATATTTGCACTTCTATTATCTGTTCTCTTTTGTTAAGTTTTTAGATTTTAACAGATTAAGTTTTTAAATTCAGCATACCTATATATCTGGTCATTCACATTGATGATCTTTTGTTATCCCTTACTGCACCTCGATGATTGTCCAATTATAAATTATATTATTTTATATACTATAATAATACAAAATATGAATACATACATACATATGTATATCAAAAAGATCAAAGTTTGAATATATGGTACTGGGTATCAAAGCAAGTTGTATGCAAAGTTTTCTTTGACAAGCTTTTGCGCGCGCGGCGGAGCTGAATGTTGTGATACTCAAAAGTGTGATCAAGCTTTACAAGCTTTATAAATCAATTAAACCTATAAAATCCAACGCCTCTGATAACCTTGAACACGAACCTAATTAATTTTTTTAAATATTTTTAGAGCTATTTTAAGCCTTCCTGAAGAGCGCAGCCTAAACATACCCAAAAAACCCTATATTGTCTTTTAATAAACTTTCGTCTTTTTTTAGTTTACATTTTCTTGGGTTTACCAAGATTTTTTTTTTGACAAATAAAGTAGCTGAATAAGAGAGTCATATATCTTTTGAAATATTACAACACTTTTCCATATGGGCATGGCATATTATGATATGAAAATACACCCACCAACTGATAAGGAAGTGATTTGTAAGTACTCTAGAAATAAATTTCAGAAAGATAAAACATATTTTATGACAGTGAAGCCGTAACGATTACTTGATATGGCCCAGTAGCCCCGGTATTCCCGAACTTAAGTTCTACAAATGTCGTTCATGTGACGTTTTGGAACTCACAGTTGCCGCTGACTCTCGTCAATAAAAAAAACGGACTCGCTGCTGAAAGATACATTTATTTACTCATGGTTGGGCTTAATAGTCGAAGTCATCGGATGCAGTGTAGTGCTCTTCACTTTCAGTTACGACTGTGTCTGCCTCGGCGGAAGGTACATCGTCACACAACCCCAAGTGCAGGGTTACAGCAATAAAATAGAAGCTGAAAACAAGTGGCTTTATATTTCTAAGGTTCGCCAAATCGGGAACTAATCTTACGTGATCAACAAGACAATTTTCAGAAGTGCATCCATCTCGACTTGTCCAGTTGGGAGTCCCAAATATTACTGATGCACAGATGCATGATCAGATATGGAAATAGCAAGCTGGGTTTCCGAGTTGGATTACACTAACAATTAGCACTTGACAGCTGATTCGCAGTTATTGCACAATCGGCGGACATTTGGTAGAACCGATCAAACAAACTTTGACTACAATACCTTGACATTCACTTTGGACATTATTATACATTTATTAGAGCTCATCACCGTAACGAACAGATGCCAATCACAAAGGTTCCAATTAGCAAGGAATTAGTCACGCTGTATTTCATCTCGCGATTTTTATTAAGTGTAACATTTTCGCATCAACGCATATGCGAAAACTTGTGGCAATTTGGTTGGTTTGATAACTCACATGAGGCCCAGACAAAAATGAATGACGCAGCTCCATGTTACCATGTTTACCACATGTTGAGTTTACGTTTTTCATTAGGGTAACTATCGTACTTACTGCTGAATGAAATCCCAGTTGGTAAAGACTTTCGGTACACTTTTGTTCGGAATGAGGCTAAAGTGCCTCAGTTTGGTCGGAGATACCCAAAACCTTCTCATTTTAGTTGTGTGAGAACTATTTCAAAGCACTTGTTAAATGTTGTATTTCTCTGTTTCAAAATACAAAGTTTATTTTTTTCTTTCATAAAATACATTTTTAAATTTCAAAGTGTTTTTGCATCACATGACTTTGAATCTTTTCGCCAATATGTTTGTATTTCCAGCAAACTCGGATACACAGAGAATTCTTAGGCAAACTATTTTTGACCAGTCGTTATCTTTTTGTGGACATCAATAAACGACTCCAAATAAAATGTTTTTGTTTTCATTATTTCATATTCTAAAAATGATGTAAAACTTGGACAGGTTTATCGTTTGTTTGTTCAAATACAACATTTTACCAAAAACAACCTAAGCATACAAAAGATATATATCTAAAAAGACTTAGGCTAAGAATATAAATAAATTGGTTACGGTTAACTAGTAGTCTCAGTTAAATATACATATACTCTTTAAAAAACACAAATGGAAATTCTCATTTTGTAAATGTGTGCGTTCGTGATACTGGAAGAATATATAATGGGTCTTCTAACTGAAGTTTGTGCTGAGTACTTAAAACGATCTCGAATAAATTGAATTGTATAAAATACGTTTGATATTAGTTGGCTTTTAAAGATATCAGCGAGACTTAAAGGAACGTTAAATATAAGATCTTAGCTCAGATTCCTTGGCTGTCTTGTTGAGTTTGGTTTAGTGGGCTTGGTAGTTTCTCATAGAAGGTACTTCAGTTGCGACTTGTTTCACACTCATAGGTCGTGCGCCTGCTTATTCTACAGATTCGATCCGATAAGATATAGATAGAAACGGATGAACTTTAACACACCTCGAATTCTCCTCGTTGACAAACTTAACAATAAACTCTCGTATTTTAGGTCTAAAGCTACGCTTTGCATTGTTTCAAACATAGGCTTCAACGTAAAGCTTTTCGGGTCATAAAAGGTTAGGGCGGGTTCACATGGTTGCCAAAAATAAGTCTTTAGGACATTCTTAGGACGAGTTCTCCAAATGTTCTCTCATCAGGAATATAATCCCTTGATTATAGAGGCAAAAATGTGTTTACATTTGTTCATTTCACTCCAAGCAAGGATTGCATTCAAAGCTCAAGTTCTTTGTCTCCAAATGTGACCCACCCTGCACTAATAAAGCTACATATCTATCCTAAATGGATTCCCTACAGCAACTCGTCGCGTCGAAAGAAACTCTCCCAGACCATCAACTTCTTAAGATCGGGCACGTCGATCACCTTCAGCTCGTCGGATATGTTAAGGCACTTCAGCTGGTGTTTCTCGACGGTCGCAGGATCGACGGGCTGCCACAGGTGCTCCTGTTCCGGATCGAAGTTGGGGTTTCCACATGCCGCAAAGTGCGTCCACAGTCCCACCAGCCGCTCGATGCACTTGTACTCCCGGGTGTGGTTCTTGAGCTTCCTCGCCAGCGAGTTGTAGAACAAGTAGGACAGATCGTCGCCGTGGCACGTACCCCTCACCTTTTTGCCGCAACTCAGGATGCGCAGGTGGTTGAAGTGCTTGGAGTCGAAGTCGAAGCGGTACAAATACGTCGGCGCACTGCGGGCGTACTGCAGGCGGGACAATACTGTGCGGTATATGGGGAACCAGAAGTACTCGTGGGACACCATCTGGAAAATATTCAAGAGGGTTGTACAGTTATTGTATGATTAAGGCGCACATCGACCTAGTGAGAACTCTAGATGGCGGGTGTTACTAGAGAAGAAGAATCTTTAGAAGAATCTTTTAAACAGTGTGGAGGAGAGCATATGCAAAACATGTAACCATATACAACAATATCATTGTCACTCTTGTTTGCTTCATCTGAATAATCAAAATAATAATAATATTCAAGATTTCTAAGTCATCTTGGTTAGATCGGAATGTTCTTAATACCAAAAGCGAATATTATTGTATTTCCCAGCTCCAATAAACGATTAGTTTTAAAGCCCCATCTTGTGATTTATGGCCCCAGTCAGTCGTAATGGTTAGAGTTTCACCCACCTGGAGGTATTCATGCAGGGTGTCCAGACTGGGCGTCTTATCGCCGTAGTAGCACTGCCTCAGCTGATCGCCGTACTCCCGACACAGCGCACTTTCCCTGTCCATGTTCAGTTCGATGGGCACCACAAAGCGGCAGTCATCCAACTCATTTAGACACTTGGGATTCGTCTTGGTCTCCGAGTACAAGAGCAGGCCCTCGTTGGAAACGCCGCCGATGATCAGCGGGATATTGTTGCTCCAGGCGGTTCGCATCATTTCAATGGGCTTCGTGGGCACCACACAATGGCTGGTGACATATGGTTCGATGACGGGTCCAAAGGAGAAGCCAATCCGCTCCCGCTTCTCCTCGTCGATGCAGAGTTCTCCATTGGCCTTGATGATATCGGCGCCCTTGGCGTTCTTCAGGAACTCCCAAACACCGCGGGTGTTGTTTTCGCCCGTGTAACCAGCCTGGACAGCCAGCCGATATGGCCAGTTTCTCTGAGGAGTCACTGCCCAGGGCGAAAGCGTGTTGCCCGACATGCAGATGGCCTTGTGGAAAAGCCCACGCGTCTGCTCTGTGATCATCATGTAGTGAACCGAGGCACTGCCCGCACTGTCCCCAAAAATTGTTATATTTGCGGAGTCGCCTCCGAAACGCGAGCAATTGGCCTTGACCCAGCGCAGGGCCAACACTTGGTCCTTGAGACCCGCGTTGCCGGGCACGTCAAGCTCGGGATCGTCCAGGCACAGGAATCCTAGTAGGTTTAGGTTGGTATAAATATACTTTTATATATTTTCATCAATCTTACCCAGTGGTCCCAGTCTGTAGTTTATAGAAATGACCACCACATCCTCGCGCAGCAAATAATCCGGACTGTAACATTCCCGTGAGGCCTCGCCAAACTGAAAGCCGCCGCCATAGATCCAGACCATCACGGGCATGGGCTTGGTGGGATATAACTGTGAAGAGAATATTAAAGTATTATTAACTTTTGGTTGAACAGTAGTTTTCAGATAAGGATTTGCTTAAGATGGCTGGCTTCACTATGGACTCACATTCTTTGTGTAGACATTGAGGTAGAGGCAGTCCTCGGAGCCATCGGTCATCTCGAAGACGAAGTGCTTCTGCAGCGGCTTGGGACCCTGGGAGGTGCAGCTCCTGACCTCCGTCCAGACCTCCGGGGGCTGGGGGGCCTTGTAGCGCAGCTCGCCCACCGGGGGCTTGGCGAAGGGGATCCGCTCGAAGCTGAAGTACGACTGGCCGTAGATGGACTTCCTCTTCACGCCCTTGATGGGTCCGTAGGTGGTGCTGACGACAGTCTTTTCGCTGGTCCTGTAGCGACGTTGTTGGACCTTGAAGTCAACCATTCTGTAACAGAGAGGGATCGGAGTGAGCTTACGCGATTTCTCAAGATATTCCAATTGATCTAAGCCCAAGCAGCGAAAGGGGAACTCGCAGCCATTAATCAGGCACAATAAACGACGTCAGCTCTGCCAAAATTGATGGGAGCGGAGCGTCTTTTCCGTTAGTGTTCTGCTGATAAGGTTAATTTTTTATCAGCTCGCGTCTGACAATCCAGGTGTGCGCCATTTATCGGGGACCACGACAATCAGTTTGCAATATTTTGTTATTCTTTCTGGCTTTCATTTTTTGTTTTTGGCTTATTTGTTCTGACTAGCAGTCAAACAAAATCCGACGCGGCCTGGTATCAAAAGATAAACAAACTGCTAACCAAACAAATTTTCCGGCAATTTTTCGAGTTGTGTAAGTCATTCAACTCGGGTGGAGGAATTCAAGGGTAAAGGCCATTGAAATTTAGAAATGCACTCAGATTTTAACAGCCAATGTGCCTATAAATTTCGTAGTTTTTGTACCCAAAAATGCAGCATTTTTTAATAAGAATTTAAATGTATATCAAGCTTTGAGGCAAGGCCTTTCACACTGTTTATAGCTTGGTATATTAAAAATAGAATGAGGGTCTTTATTTATTTGATGAACTTTCCACCTTTCCCAGGGTGCCATTTATTTGTCTAAATAAAACATCAAAGTTACTTGATAAGGCTCAAGGCTTTTATAGAAGGAATTATTTCTTAAGTGCGCAAATATGATTATTTGTCTTTCCGACCAATTTTAGATCGCCTGAGGCGTCTTTTGTTTATCGACTGCCACAATGGTCAAGTCGAGTATACAAACTAAAGCCGTTTATGTCTTTACTTCCACTTTTCGATTGAACGATGCAAAGCAGAATAGTTTTGATCGCTTATGTGCTCACCCGGCGAACGAACGTGTTTCAACTTTTAATTAATGCCTACGCAAGTCCCTACTTGGCATAAACAGAGAAGATAAAATAGAAACCAAGCTACATCTGAGATACACTTTCTGGCATTTTTGTATTTTTTGCTTTGCTCGCAGATGTCATCATCCTGTTGTTCGCAAATGTCATCAGCTGCCGAAGAAACCCCAAGGGCGGCGAAA